GGGACGTGTGCGTGCGCGTTTAGGTATGCGCATAGTTCGCATACCGACCCTTCCTCGCGCGGTATGTTATAATTAGTGCTCTGGCGAGCGCACGCAACATTGATATGTCCACGAGCTTCCAAATACTTCCTTAACGAGATAGCTTCGTAAACAACGGGCTAAGTGTGCTCGCGTGCCTCCCCAATCCGATTTCCCCCTCCGCCGAGTCGAAACATCGTTGAAATGGTATTACACGTTTTTCCAAGGATTTATTTCAGTAATAACTATTATTATTGTAATTTCTATTCATTAATAATTTATATTATTAGAGATTTATTTTTAAATAAATTTTCAAATTTATTTTTATTAAAAAATCATAATATCGAAATTATTTGAACTTTTGTTCTTTTAATTATTCGTTTTCCATCGTTAAAAGTTTTATATTTGATCGATGAAATTGTAAATCCATTTTTTAAATCAATTGATCATCGATGATCATACGAATATCCTGAATTTAACAATATTGAATTTGATTCCTGTATATTAAATTACTTTTTAAAGAAATTTAAATCAATTCCGATTATTAGAAACTGATGATCGAGTAATTATTCCAATAAGAATTCCTTTACGATTAATTACTTCATCAACAGATGTAAATCATGAACTGTTCCATCTTTAGGAATTAAACTTGATGAACACTTCCAGGACGAATTAATCAAGTTTAATTAGAAAACGACCAGCAATTTTCTTTGAACAATGTTCAGAAATCTGTGGAATAAATCATAGATTTATAGTTGAATCAATTAATTTCTTTTTAAAAAAATAAACTTAAAATTCCTAACTATATATATATATGTTGAGAAGAGGTCGAGATCTTTTCTGGTTAATAAGAGAAAATTCGAGAAGAGGAAGCGCGGTGTTGCGAGAATCTTGGCGCTTAATTTATAGACGAGATCATAGATTGGTGGATCTCGATCGAAAGGGGACGATTAATCAAGCAGCCACGCACAAGTTGGCGCGGATCTTCCGCGGCACGTTACGT